GCTTTTTCCGCCGTCGTTGCTAGTTCTTCCACGTACTTCTGCTCTAATTTCGGCTCTTATGCTCTTCTTCACTTGTTTGTTTGCTTCTATGTACTCTGCTTGTGCTTGGACTTTCTCTGCTCTTGTTCGACTGTTGTTAATTGCTGTCTTCTTGTTCTTTCTTTCTTTGATCCTGTCCAATGTTTCTGTAGAGATCCATTCCTTGTGATGACGCTTCTTGGGGCCCAGAACCTCTTCACACGTTGAAGTTAATGTTTCTTTGATACCTTTCCAGCTATCCTCCATAGTAGTTTCTTCTTCCTTCAGTAGATCCTGTAAGGCTTGGAACCTGTTGTTGAGAGCTACCTTGAATTCATTGAGTTTGTCAGTATCTCGAAGGAAGGCTGTATTGAACCTTTGTGATGCTGTTTGTCCAGTTGTCCAGTTCTTCTTTAGCTTCAGTTTCAATTTGGCCACAACTAGGTGATGATCTGAAGCTATGTCCGCTCCTCTCCTGGTTTTCACATCTTCCATTGTCCTTCGGAACTTTTTATTGATGCAAATGTGATCTATCTGGTTCTCTGTGGTGTGGTCCGGTGAGATCCATGTAGCTTTGTGTATACGTTTGTGTGGAAATATTGTACCGCCTATGACCAATTTATTGAATGCACACAGATTTGCAAATCTTTCCCCGTTTTCGTTTCTCTCTCCCAGTCCATGTAGTCCCATGATGTCTTCATATCCGGTGTTGTCCATTCCGACTTTGGCGTTTAGATCTCCCATCGGAATGGTCAAGTCCTTTGTTGGTCACTTCTCTATGATTGATTGCAGCCTTTCATAGAATTGATCTTTAGTGCTGTCATCGCTATCATTGGTGGGTGCATAACATTCGATAATATTCATTGTGATCTCCTTCTTCTTTGTTTTTAATGATGCTTTGATGATTCTGGATACGTGAGATTCCCATTCTACAAGTACATTTCATGCTTCATTGAACAGGATTAAAGCAACTCCCTGAGTGTGTGGAGCATTTTCCTGTTCGTGACCGGAGTATAGCAGCATCTCTCCCGTATCTAGCCTTCATTGTCCAGCTTGGATCCAATGAGTTTCGCTGATTCACAGTACTGCCAAGTTGTATCTCCTCATCTCCGTTGCTATTTGACTGGTCTTCTCGGTCTCTCACATTGTCCGGACGTTCCATGTACCTATATTAATTGTTGCTCTGGTTGTTAGAAGGGGCATCGGCCTCATGGCTTCCAAAGGAACTCGGCTTTCACCATGAAGCGTCATATTACCTCTAACTCCCAGGGCAGAGTTTAAATGGTTTGAGTTATTTTTTCTGGTTAGCGTTTTTTTAGCGAGTTAGGTTTCTACGGGATGGGGACGCTAACCCCATGCCCAACCCTCCTCCTTTACCCGGGCTTGGGACCGGCAGTAACTCTGGAAGAGCTACAGGCGGAGTTCAAGTTATTTTTGGTCACGTTGAATTAGCATGACATGTCATTGTATTCATTTGTGTGTCAGAAGGTGGATATGAGAAATGTATACATTTGTAGTACTCCCACATATGCTTTATCTTAATATCTAAGCAGCATACTGAAGCCACTTCAACATAACTTCATTAATGTAGTACAGGATTCATAAGAATTAGAATCAAATATCTCGTTGTTATCCATCAACGATAACGAAGCAATGGTAAGCAATGATGTTGTATCTTTATGCACTAGTATTCCAATTGATAAATGTTTAGACTTCGTTAATGGTTTACTAGAGAATGATAATACTCTATCCAGCAGATGTCTATTAAGCATTAATTCAATCATGAAATCGCTCAACCTATGCTTGAATTTAACAATATTCATTTTCAAAGGGACTTTCAATAAACAAACAAAAGGAGTAGCCTTAGGATCTCCAGTATCTCCTATTGTTTCCATTTTATCTATGTCCCATACTGAGTCTCATATTATTGCCAGTAACAACAGACTATGCATCTGGCCCAGATATGTACATAACACATTTGTCATTATTAAAAAACCTTTTTGGGAATTTCTTTAAACACAAACACGTCCTCGGAAAACATTTAATTCACTTTCAAAAAGGAAGATGAATATAGTGAACTACCAGTCTTAGTGTTTAGTTAAAAGAAATTCTAGTGGAAGTCTAAATCTAAATTACTCCCCAAGTGTACATTCTGTACTTAATACTGATGCATCACCTATAGGTACTGGTGCAGTTTTTGAGTAGAAAGGTAGACCAGTAATTAGTGTTCCATGAAAACTTAGAGTTGCTGAACAAAGTTATTTACAAACTCAGGAGAAGCATTAGCTAAATTTCGGACTGCTAAATGACTTCATAAATATTTATTTGAAAACAATTCACTATTGTTATTAATCTTCAAGCTTTAAAGTTCATTTATCATTCTGAAAAATACTTAGCACGTATCTCAGCTCCTATGGTTCAACGATGGAGTAACGCTCTGAGTGCCTATAACCATACGGTTAAGCCAAGAAGTCTCAAACAAATTCAACATGTTGACCACATTTTTTGACATTCATTGCAAGATAAACCTGTTAATATTGCAGATTGTTTATTAGTGCAAACTTTACCGACGAGATGTTCAGATCTCATACGAGAAACTTGTCGATACTTTGGATGTATACTTAGTGATATTCGAAAAGTTTGGAATGCTAATCTGAAACGTAGATTTCCCATCTATTTTTCAAAGCGGGATGAGTTATCCACCAATCCGGATGGTGTTTTCTCTTTAAATGATCGTGTTGTTATTCCTCCTTTATTATGTAAATCTGTTCTTGAAGGCCTCCAAAATGGATATTTCAGCGTTGAGAAAATGAAATCCTTGTCAAGGTTTACATATCGGTGACCGAAAATAAATGCAGATATATGTCGTAGAGCAGACAATTGTGGAGGATGTTAAGTCTAAAAACCATCCTTCGAATTGGATTTATTTAGACTATTGTAGTTCATTTCTCAGCAAATAACTTGCACTTTTCTTCATTAATTCTCTATCTAAGGAGCCTGAGACTCTTTTCAAAACTTTGTAATCCAAGCAATAATGAAGGATTTTAGTCGATAGATGGTCCTTATGGTATTGGTGACCGATTACGGCTCTCATTTTGCTGCGGATACAGTCATTACCTAGTTGAACGGTATATGATGTAGACATCTGTTCACTGCTTCCAGGCGTTATATCTAAAACCTGAGCACTCCGACGCTAGAACCCTCCCAAGTCGCAAACGAGAAGACAAAAGACTGAAGAAAGTGCTCGTTGGGCAAGAATCAAAATGTACAGAAAATCATGAGTATTTTTTAGATATTAGTGTCTGTTGAAACAATATTATAATTCAACCAATCCGCAAAGAGGCATGTTATGTTACTGACCAATAGTAGCATGCCCCGTTGTTATTCTAGAAAGCTTCATTACGTTCTAACTGGGTGGAACTCTGCAGCTCTTCTAGGGCTTCTGAAGACTCCGTCATAGTTCACGGAAGCCGTCCCAACACCAGGCTTCCTTGCTTTAATGATCAGGGGAAAACGTTCGTCAGAACATTAAAAACTGCTACTAATTCTACTGCCGCTTCAACATCTGATGAACTAAAGAAGAGGGATGGGCACATTTCTACTGCAATGTAGAAATGCTTAACATTCCGTAACGAAAATGACCACATCAAAGTCACTAAAAGAAAGGATTTTCAGTTTGAATATGAGGTTTTTTGAATCTGCAGAGGTTACATATTTTGGTGGAAAGGATCTTCAATCATCCAAGAGGATTGTGGTGAAGAATATTGAAAAATCTAGATACCAATGTTTTCAGTACACACAACTAACATGTTGATCAAATACAATCCCCGTAACCAGGTGAGTCTGTTCCCATTTCGGTTGGTAATTCTAATATTAATGGGTATATTCATACAGAATTTACATCCAATACACAGTCGAATAGACATACAATGAACCTAAAGAGAAGTACGATTGATTACAGAAATTTAAATTCCACCTCAAGCTGTTGCGGTAGTGGTACTTGTATCAACTAACGATTCCTTTGTACTTGATTGCGCACTTGTCACTAGTCCCAAATATAATACGTTCACTTGTATTCACCTGGTTCCAACTGCTTTAAATCACATTATTTTTGAATTCCTAGTAAGCGCTTTAATTCGAATACTTCTAATCATCTTACGAAGATAACTTTGTTAGTGTAGTTATTAGTTCCTCCACAAAACAGCTTTCATAAATATTTTATTGTTTACGTTAATCAGTGTAGACGCTGACCGTCTGCAGCAGCTTCTCTGTTTTTCATTACATAATTTCGACAGAATTTCATAAATCAGACACCATGTGACAGCTGAGTCAACTATACCCTCCAGTTCTCTTCTTAACTTATTGTGACCTTTAATAGACATACTTCTTATATTCGTGTACTTATAGTTCTGCACATATATATTTTCTGTATATGTGTATCTGTACACTAATTATAATATCCATTCCCTTTCTCCATACTGGTAACATTTTGAGTTAACGAGTGAAAATTTAAGGTTTATTTGTCGCTTCTTAATATGAATGTCTACTTATAACGAATTTGCGAAATGAATTTAATTCATAACATTTTATACTTCGACTTTTGGATTCAACGTTTTACAAACATGATAAATCAATGGTCAACTATGAAATGAAATATAAAATGAGTAAACATGAAATAGGACTCAGACACGGTTAGCAAAATCATTACTTGTGCATTGAAAATAAGCAAAACTATACATTTCAATTCTTCGAAAATTTCAAACATAATACGAAGTGTAATAAAAATACGCTGAATATCGATTCATTAGAATGTACTGCTGTAATTCCATCACATGCTCATTAAATACGAATTTACAATCAGCTCTTACGAACAACTGAATTACAATAAATAAACGAATGAGTAAATATCAATGTACGACGTATAGAAATAAAGGATAAATTTATTCACATAACTCAATGGTTTTCACTACAAACTAGTTATAATGAGAACAGATTTCATGTGTTTGTTATTAGCAACTGTTCTCTACTCACTATTATATCTAACAGTCAATGTTCACAGTCAATTAGATCATGGCCAAAACAGAACTAATACATCAAGAGAAGAACAACGATTGCGTTCAGAAAAAGACGATTCTGAATTCAGTCAGAGGGTAACGAGAGATAATTCAAATTCACAGTTTCTGAGAAAAAAAGAAGATTCACATTCAAGTAAAAGTGGCGATGTCGGATTCCACTCTTCACAAGAAAAATTCAAAGTGAAATACTCAAATCAAAGAAGAAGTGATATTTATACTAGCGGTTACCAAACATTCATGGGAAAACGTAGACGAGGCAGTAAATCACATGTGAAAACCATATTCAGAAAACGTTCTGGCTACAATCACAATGGTCAAAGGGAACGAAGTTCCACATTCGAAAGTTATGGTGAGGCAGACAGTTTCGATAGAAAGAAAATACGTGATGTGTTCGATGTGAATGGATATATTTCGGAGGGTCGAAAACGAAGTAAACTCGGTGGATACATCCACGAAGAAAAACATGCGTTTATGTCAGGTGGACATAAGTCGCAAGTTTCTCGAAATGATGGCATATCACTTGAGGGAAAAGATCACTCTGAAAGTGACACTCTAAATCAAAGATCTGGTTCTCACAATTCGGAAGACATTCGAAGGAGTGAAAACAGTACCGTACAACGACGTCGAAGATGAATTGAATAAATATCTTAAATTTACACGTTCACACGTTAATGAAGATTCCTTGTTCGAAATTAATATTCAGTTTCCCATTACTGTTTCTCTGAGAATCACATCAAATCAAATTATATCAACCATGAATTAGTGACAGTAAACTGGCAATGAATTCCATCCATCATCTGTTCACATCAACAATCAATATTATTTTGTTCTTACCAATCATTCATTCTTTTCTTTCAAATCATTATTCACAATCAATGGGTGTTTGGTACATTAGGTTCCCTCTCGTCATCATATTGATTTTTCGTTTACGAAATTCACTACCTTCATCTCCCTCATCACTGGAAGATGAAATCTGTTGAAAACCGTGTGTATTCTTCTTCTAAATTACCTTTGCAAATTCTAATAATTTATTACAACAGACCATGTATTGTAAGAACAGGTGGGTAAAATATATTTAAGAACAAACGACATCACGAAAGTTTCCTTTTATTCATGTCAATCAATCCAGTCAAATTGCACCGTACACTTTATTTATCCACACGTGGATTACCAATCATGTTATAAGATCAACATGATAGTCGAAAGTAGAGAATGATAAAATGATCACGTTCTCGATGCACTTGTCTACGTATAAATTCGAGTACTTTCAGCCTCAATTGTCTTAGATTATACCTACGGATGATTACACGTAGACAACACATTGAACCCTGTTCAAAATACATCATATAAGGTACTTATTTCAAACTGAATTTCCTTCGTATAGGACGTAGAATTATAATGAATGTCCAATCCGTACACGACTATTTGAATTTCGGTTCCAACATCTCAAATGCATTCGGTTTGAAACTGAACCAGTACATTGTCTTCGGTACTTAGTAATTCGCTTTTATCCTTCTACATTGACTTTCACAAATAATTCAAGTACCACACCACTGTTGATTACAATGCGTTTAATTCATCTATCCGCCTAACATCCACCTCCTGAAATGCCTTGATAATCGATTCGCAATCAAATATCTTTGACAAGTGAAATCTTCCGACATTTAGTTTTCAATTCATTAACCAGGATAAAGTGTGATTACTCTAACGATATGATATGGATATGATCGACTCTAAAATCAAATGCATCTATTTAGTATCGATAGAAGGTCTTGTCGATTGCTTCAGTATTCAACGTTAACGGGAGACGATGACCGTTTCACAATTAGTCGATCACTGAGTAGTGAACAATATCTCGTATTTCATGTCCTTCATAATGCTGATCGATAGAAATGAAAATGTCAAGTCACTTGGACTACTACTAACCACATTCCAGTTTGATCGATAGAATTCGATCACTTCATGAAAGACAAGACCTATACAGCATTGGTCACTACCCAATGATCAGTCAATCGCAAATACACCTCAGTCCTACAGAATGTCATTGGAGGTACAAAGGAAAAATGAACGATAATAAGTTCTATCTTTGACAAGACCAAGTGTGTGAAATTCTGTGAGACCTCACTTTGGGACGATGGTATTATTCATTATTCACTGCTAGATTTCGATCCGTGAAGAAAACTGACTTCCACAAGATAAACACCAAAGTTATGCAAATAAAACGCTAAGTAGTCTTGATGAAGCTATCCTTGTAATAGATTGATCACATCACGGAAAATTTTGAAATCGACTGTGATATTAGTGGGAAATTTAAAACGGACATCATAGGTAAAATTTAATATATATTTATAATTATTTTACTTAGAACAGACTATCATCTAAACCATTTTGTCATATACGTAAACCATCTTCATAGTAACGGAAAGATTAACAAGGTAATATATTTGTACTGAATCATTAGTTGTATATTTGGAAGGAATACTCAATTTGTTACATTTTTCAAATTTTCTGAATCACTATTATCGTTTAGTTACTAAAAATAACGTCCTGTAACAGTTCCAAAACCTTTAGTTCTCACATGTAGTACATTGCTTTTATACCACGTTGTCGGAATCTTTTGATTCGTTACTTGAAACTTGATTTTGATATCAGTACAATGCGATCAAAAGTCAATTTGTTTAGCGAATCGCTTTGCAGCTTAACTCTTTTCCTAAGGTTAAAGTTCACTCCTAAAAATATCGGAAAACTCATTCTACTGCACTTTAACTTTTTTTTTAATTTCAATATTTTCTCGGCTGTTGTCTACTTGTGATAAAAACTGTCATCAAAAATGATAATTCTCTAACCAAATAAAATAAATACCAATTCTACCTTGATTGTTTACTTTCCAGAAACGTCCCAAATACCTCTCTGGCTTACTAACCCAATCAACTCTATCATAATTATATTTTATTTGTCAATATTATGTTAAGCTTATATTATCTAATTCAATCACAGGATTCCAGTCATTATGTGGTTATATAATTGTGATCTCGAGAAAGTTTCAATTTTTCCTCACCACAATCAATAAATTTTAATAGTCAGTTAATGATAATTTAAACAGTAAATTATTATTTGGCTCATTTTTTTTTTCTGTACTTTTTCGAAACTTATAAAATTGTGTTCAGGCTAGATGTTGGAGTGATTGTGACTGCCTATATTTACTTAGTAGACTGTATTAGATCAGTTGAAAGACATATTTTTAAACTTCATTGATATGTTTTGATGTTTGTCAGTAGTAGTTAGAAATTGTTTAAGTTGGAGTAACTATATTTTATTATTTTTAAAACTCATCTACCAACCTAGTATATCATGGATAAACTAGATCACAGATGAGAAAACCAAGCTGTCGGTAATCCGATCAGTATTATCTGATATCAGTAAATTTTAAATCAACATTTAAGAGGTGCAAATTTGAAAAGGTCTCAGTTGATTTAGACAAAAAGCTAAAAACCTATGTTAGCTTCGGAAATCCGAATCATTTAATTGATCCAACATAATGCTACATAATTTTGAGTCATTGGATTCCACTTAATCTTAGCTCGGGGCAAAATTTACTGATCACCTAGACTTTTAACGTTTTTGTGTTCTACCAAATATACTGTTAAGATACGTTAATTTTCAATTCACCAGAAAGCAATATAACATTCCTATCAACGCATTGGGTATAAATATGATAGTAATCTTTCAGTTTTAAGTCAAAATACATCAGATCTCTTTTAACAAAACAAGAGATAGATTTATTTCAGGTATTTCAGTGTGTAATTGACTAAAGTTACCCTAGATATTAGTTAATTTCGTATATTTCCTAAACCGGTCCAGCTACGTTATTAAATTCGGTTGACAGAATAATTCTAAAAATGATGACGCAAAGTGCTTTGGTAATAAATGTACTTCAGATGCTAACTCAGTAGACCGAACGTATAAACACGGAGGTTATAGTGTAGTAGATGCTATTCATAAGATCGTTTGTAAGTAACGTGTAGCGGAATGTGACGTCAAAGTTGCAACAATTGTCAGATGGATTGAAGGGTTTCAAGGCATCGAAAGCAGAGCGTTGGCAAAATACTTAGAAGCCAGTTGGAAAGATAGTAAAAAAGATTGCAAAACACACTGAAAGAGGCAAATAAAACAATTGAAGGATAGGTATAATAGTAACTTCTCGCAACAAGCATACTTTCTTCCTGCCTATTTTCGTGTTTTACATTAGGAAGTGTGAATGAATTATAGTGTGTGGATTACTTTATATGATGTGTGTAAATCGGTGTGACAATCAATTGTTATCTGAATCGTTAAGCGAGCTTATGTAGTTAAAATAGTTTTTGGGATAAAATAAATGGATATACAAACAGTCACGTATGAAAAGCATCCATGGGTAGAAATTCCTAACTATTCATGTAAATAAGTACAAATTAAGTAAAACGATTAAAATAACACATGATTGTCTTGCGGTATTTCCTTTCATCACAGTGTAAGCTTTTTGTGTTACGAATAAATAATATCAAACTGCTGCAAATATCATACAAACTTGAAGAGGTTTCCGAAATATTTTTATCGAGTTGCGAAACAGCTAATTTTAGAAAAAGTATAGTTATTTGCATAAAACAAATACAGTCTTCATATAGTAATTTTTGTTATCTGGGTAGTTGAAAATTCTACAAATTTCCAACGGAATCCTTCAACCTTATGAGGCTATTTGAAAACAGTGTCTTAATGATATTATTTATAGGTATATTATTATCTGTCATCACATAGATTTCTTACATTTTCATTAGTTTACCTTGTAAGAACAGCGTTTTCCAGGCATGCGCTATTGTTTAGGAAATATAGACTGACAATACTGTAACCAAGAATAGAGAAAGATAATTCTAAAGTGTTAGGGTTGAAAAGATAGAGCTATCACGGGTTCACGTAGTTTGAGAACGAGATCGAGAATTCGGTGACCAAGGTCCAGTGAGCTAGCTAATGACGCGTCCCAGCACCGCTATCTAGAGTGAGAAGACCAAGCCTAGAATGGATGTATATTCTGCAACAACCAGAAAACCAGCAAACCTTTTTTACAAGGCAATATAAAACGTATGTATACAAATATATATACATCGATATTGTCATGGAGCTTTTAAACATTTAATCTATAGTTCGTCAATTGACTGCCATTGAAATATTTAAACATTTAATCGATAGATTCGTCAATCAACTATGTGCGTGGGTGGTAAGAAATACCCACGTATACATCTGCATACAAGCTCCACATGATAAAATTACAAACTATGAGTTTTTGGGGATCTATCGTCCCTAGCATAAAGATAATCAGTTAAAGGATACACGTTAATTACTGACAGTCAACTACACGAGTTCACTTAGCAAACTTGGGTTTATTTCAAATGGTTTCATCGATTTTACTGTCATATTTATTTTCCGTTTGTAGAATTCTATTTTCTTCAAAAGTATCTCACTTCACTACGTAGCTAAAGAAGAGTCAATTTATCTGTTGCTAAACAATTCATATTCCTACCGAAATTACTGTGCATTTATCAAAGTCAATCTCTATCAAAAAAGGATTCACTATGTTGGAAAAAGTAAACATCTTTCAGAACCGAATTCACTTATGAAAATAAACGCACGTTCATTGAACTAATTAGTTGATATATTTCATCAAATAATTTTTCTTATACTTCAGGGAAGTGAAAAGACTTGAATTTCCAATTTAATGAAAATGTATATAAACATGTATCTTTCAAGTAGACAAAGCATTGATTTTCCTGCAAAACATCTACTACCTCATGTGAACCACCACTTCTTCAAGCAGGAGTAGTCGAAAATTAATTTGTCACTTGTGTATCACTTAAATATGTTCAGTAAGTATGATTTTACTCCACTTCGGTTATATATATTACTTACATTACTTACGCCTGTCACTCCTCGTGAAGGAGCATAGGCCACCCACCAGCATTCTCCATCCAATCCTGTCCTCCGAAATCCTTTCCAGCTCTTTCCAGTTCTTATTCATCCCTTTCATGTACGCTTCTATTTCCCGACGTAATGTGTTCTTTGGCCTTCCTCTTTCCCACTTTCCTTCAGGATTCCAAGTTAGCGCTTGTCTCGTGATGCATTTAGGTGATTTCCGTATTGTATTTCCTATCCGTTTCCATCGTCTTTTCCTAATTTCCTCTTCAGGTGGTAGCTGGTTTGTTTTCTCCCACAGAAAGCTGTTGCTGATGGTATCCGGCCAATGGATGTTGAGTATCGGGTGTAGACAACTAATTATAAATACTTGTACCTTCTTGATGATGGTTATAGTAGATCTGCAGGTTTCAGCTCCATACAGTGTGTCCTATGCACCTCCAGCGCTTCTTCCTGATTTCTTCCTGCGCTGAAATCTAGTTTGATCTCTTCCACAGTAGGTTGTTGTTGGTAGTGTATAGCCAACGGATCTGACGTATTTTGCCTAGACAACTGTTAATAAACACTTGTATCTTCTGGATGATGGCTTTCGTAGTTCTCCGGGTTTCCGCCCCATACAGTAGAACTGTCTTGACATTTGTGTTTAAAATTCTGACTTTGGTGTTGGTTGACAGTTGTTTGAATTCCAGGTGTTCTTCAGTTGTAAATATTTTGCTCTTGCTTTGTAGATCCGTGCCTTCATATCTGCATCAAATCCACCATGTTCATCGATGATGCTGCCCAGATATGTAAGTATATCGAAATGCGAAATCCTAAATGGAAAGAATAGACAACTTGGACTTCATTGTTAGCTACATTCTATCTATTCTATAAAAAAGAAAACTTGAAATTAAAATATTTCACAGTGGCTCTGAATTAGATATATCAAATAATAATAATAATGGTAATGATAATAATAATAAAGGGTAATAATATATATTTCTCTATAATTAGTAAAACCTTATATGTGCGCTATTTAATGAACTTTAATTATACTAGAAAAAGTATTCGAACAATATTATTGATTAAAGGAACATTAAATTAATTCTATGGTTGAATATATAATAGAGTAATAAAAGGCATAATATGTATATCAGATATTCATATTATTAAAAAAACATACATTGGATTTAAGTAAAACTTATGATTAATTTAAAATTATTTACTTAAAATAAAATTATGAAATACATATATTTACTACTTATATTCATTATATTATCCCTATTTATCAGATTTATTGAAGCTGATAATGATTATAATAATGATAATCAGAATATATATTCCTATTCACATAATCATAAAAGAAACTATCAATCTAAGAACGTCGACAGTAAATCAAAACAATATTCATATAACAAAGAAAAAAGGAATAATAATAATGAAAATTTTGAAAGAAATAAAAAATCTATTCGACCTAGAGATCATGATTCTGCATATAGAAATGATCAAATACAATCTCGTGGAAATAGTGCAAAAGGTGGAAGTTATTCAGAAAGTACATATTTTACATTACATACTGGAACAGATAGATATGGTCGACGAAATTATTATTCACGATTTCAAACACGTGGACGATCAAATGGTTATCGTGAAAATATGTTTTTTAATATTTTTGATGTAACCGGTGGTATTAAAATAACACGGAATAAAAATCATATGACAAAATCTGATAAAAGAGATAGATACACAAAAAATAATAATATCAATAGTAAAGATTATAATACTGACACTAATAAAAAGCCGGAATATCCAGATGGATACAGGTCATTGAACAAAAACTTTACTACTAATTATGGAAACTCGACTAATGCATCAATTCCATTAGCCGGTAAATAATCCCAACTATAATCAAAAAAGTTTTGTAATTAATAATAAATGTTATTCATGTTATGCATAAAATAAGTTTATTTTTTCATTATTTGAAGAAAACTATTGTATTTCTTTCCATTTTAGTGAAAACCTTGTAAAATCACTAGTAAAGAATTATAGTTTCCCATTTCTAATATTCAGAACTAAAAATGATTAGATCTCTGTTCCTATAGATTCATTCCAAGATTATGACCAAAAAGCTTTGTTTAGTATAATCGGCAAGTTCCTATCTTCTCAAGATGCATACAAACTGATGAATTCCAGTTCAGAATAGCAGAAACAGGGAATTGCGAACCCATTCCATATTAAAACCTTCATACTCATTTAACAACCTAGTGGCTAACTGTATTCGGTATCTCAGTAGATAACAAGTTGAGCTTTTGAGTCGATAAGTACCGAGTTCAAGTTCCAACATTAACATTCAGCTAGAGTTCTTAATTAAACGGAACGAGTAGCCTGGTTTCTGTAATTAGATATATACCTGATATACTAAAACATTGGATAAACAATCTTTGAAAAATGAATCAAAAAACAGCTATGCTTTTTATTTCCATGTATGTCAAATCTCTTCACCACATGTTATCATAAACGATCGACTAGTAAACAATCCCTGTGCAAGATCATCCAAAATCGATTATACACCGACATTAGCTTATTCAATAAGACAATCAAATACAATACAAAACATTCTGAAAAGAAAAAAAGAACATAGACTACTAACTAAACTACACAAGGTTAAAAAAATAATTTGCAAAACACCAGTGGTAAAATAAATTAAAAAAGTGAAGTAAGCAAATCTGTTCGAAAATTCAAAGCAAACGTTCTCATAGTATTAGAAAAAATAGACAATGCAGATTATCAACAGAATAAAAACTAATAGTAACAGAAATTCAAATCGAACAACTAGAAACATTTACATTAGAAAGATTAGCTTTAGAAACATAGAAAATTGATACGGAATACTCAATTTGTTTTATCGAACCAAATACGAAAAATATTTCTATGCTGATTTACACGAAGACCATGGTATATCAAATGTGAATCTAGTAAAAAAGAGCAGCGATTTATTTGTTATTCCTTGAGTAAACATTTCCATATACGAAAATGCTGTTAATCAACTCATATAAAACACAAAATCAGAAGAATGTTGCAAAACGATGGTTGACTTATGTTAAGTAAGAACTTTCGTCTAAATTTGAACGAATGGTTTCACAATATTTGGGCGCCAAGTTAATGTGAGAGAGGAAAAATGTATTTGTAAAATCTCAGCGAAAGAATTTGAATTAAATCCAACGTTTCGCCTGGCAATCTGGTCCAAGCTTTTTCAAGGCAAATATAATGAAACAACAAAATTATAGAATATAAATCAATATAAATAAATTTATATTCGATAATTTTGTTGTTTGATTATATTTTCTCTGAAAAAGCTTGGACCAGATTGCCAGGCGAAACGTTGTATTTACTTCAAATTTTTTCGCTCAGATTTTACACATACATTTTTCCTCTTTAACTTATGTGTGTACGAAGAGAAGATAAAATACAAGTTCACAACAAAAAATATTTTAACAGATATAAAATTGGGCAGTAACAGAAAATCATAATAAAAAAGAACTCAAAAAAGCAATACATACGTCAACAACTAAAACATCACATATTCGAGAAAACATAACTGTAAATATATTGATCGAAATTTTCAGACGAAAAAGTATGTTTATATTTTAACACTCGAAATGGATTTCTGAACGTCAATTAAAAATGGAGTTATTCAACACATGCTATAAAGTTGCTACTTCACAGAATAATTTATCAATCATTAGCATAAATGAAAACTAGTCTCATCAGTAAGTAGGTCTGTTTACTTGCTAAAATCTCAATGATGTATCCATCAAAAAGTATTTTAAAAGTAGCAAACAGTATACATTTTATCAATATCGTTTCTAGTCTCTATTTAAGGAGAGATTTATCACAAAGCATTGCGTCGTTTATCTAACAACACTTCACCCTTACCATTAAGTTGAAGCATAACAAACAATCGATTACTCAAGTGCAATCTCATGAAAGTGAATTGCGAACATTACATACAATTGCAATTCCAGTCAACAAGTATATAATTGGAAGGAATCAAAATTTAATGACCGATTTGTTGTAACAGGATAATTTATATGAGAAAATACAAGAATGAAGATAATCACGTTGTTATCCTTGATTTTCTTACCTACCATACTAAACCAAGACATAAGGGATGAATCGCGAGTTAGAAATAGTAGAGATTCCTCTTCTGGAACAATGAACAGCAGTTGGACTGCAAACAGTGATGACACGAATGGTCAAAAAAGAAAGGGCTCAGATAATCGTGAATTTGACTTGACGTGGTCATCAGGAAATTCAGATCGAAGATATGCATTTACAGAAGAGGGAGAAGCAAATGCTAAAGGTAATTTCAATAGACATGGACGAGGAGAATATGACAGTATATCTACCCGTTCATCCAGATTCAGGGTGAAGGGTTCAACTGACAAGTATGGAAGACGCACATTCCAATATGCCAAATTGAAGAGAGGTGGAAAACAAAGGAGTTACTCGAAAAGATTCTCCGTTGACAACTTCGATATCAATGGTGATGTATATTATAGACGTAAAAGTATGGGATTAGGATCAGACAGTGAAACTGCTAAACATCTCAAAATCAGACTCAGTTCTGATCGTGATTCTGATAGTAGAACTTCACTTGGAACTGACAATAGTAAATCGAGAAGTAAACGTAGTGATGGAGAAATGGAAAGTACTATTCATTCGAATATCTCTCTATCTAAAATTGGTGAATGAAAACTGAAAGAGGCATATATAGATTCCCCTTATTTATCTACTAAACTGTAGACTACTGTGTAAGAATATGTTTGTATCAACACTATCTATATTCCATCATGTACAACACTCATTTTAAGGATCATAAATAAAGAATTTGTTTATTGATTTTTAATGAAACTAATCCTACTAAAGATGCCCCAGGTATTCGGAGTTTGACAACGCTTTAACCAGTAACACCTTCTAATATGAATCGTACCCACCAAATAAATTCAAAAGACAGAAGCGGGGAGCTTCGAAGATTTATTTGATAGGCTAGCAATATGTCGAGGATCGTCTGATCTAATCTGGCTAGCGATTGCACTAGATGTTGAGCACGGCGTTCCCACTCGTGATCTGGTGCGGATGCATGACTGAGCGCCTTCAGCTATGTGAATTCACTAAAACAATATGGTCAGCATCCAATGTCGAGGACTTACAGAGCTATTTATTGTTGGGGATTAATTTACCGCTACAGATCACTCCCTTTTTAGTGGGGTACTGATGACCCTAAGACGTGGCCAGCTAGAAATTTAAACACAACGAGTTTGTCGTTGGTAAACACTCTTCTGATAGCTTGCTATGCTTAGCAGCGTCTGGTCGCCCTTCCTTACTATAAGCGACCATGAAGTACAATATAGTAAAAAAAATAATGTACAATGAAAATTTTGGTTCCTCGTAAACCTCATCGTTCTTTTTATCGTCTTTACCATCCATCCTGGAAAAGAAAGAAAGAAAATGTAAGTGCATGTCGAAATAAGACACATAGTGGGCGAAAAAAGGAAAATATACTCATGTACATATGATAGCCTAAAAGCGATTTTTACAAAATGTATTTTGTTTTTTTAAGAATTTTTTAATATACATATTAGCAAAACAATAAATATATATAAATATAAGCAATAGTCGTTTAAATGTTCTGGAAATCTTACTCTTCTTCCAGAACACGTTGTTTTAAGTTTATTTTCTGATACCGCCGAAGTATCATTGTGTGTTGGCGGTCGGATGAGGTATTATAAGTGTAGGAGCCGTGTCGTTCGATTGTAATGAAGGAAAATAGATGTGAATAAATACGCTGCTTTGAGGCGATCGATGCTGATGCTATCGTTGGTTCCGTTATTATCGATTATGTAGTAATTAGGCTCGCGCTGAAGAACTTTGAAAGGTCCTTCGTATGCTGATTCGAAAGGTCGTTGATGTTAGTCTCGACGTACGAAGACGTGTGTACTATATCGTAAGTCAGGTTGAATGAAAACATCAGTTGATTGCGGCCTAGTGGAAACAGGTTTAACTGAACGCATTGCGTTTGTAAGCCTGTTCGTGTAGGAGGTTAAATCCATGTTCATTGAGTAAGATGAAGGATCCACGAATTCTCCTGGATGTCGAAGTGTCGTTCCATAAATGAGTTGAGCCGCAGTGTATCCAATGTCAGCTTTCACTTCATTACAAATACCTAGTACGACGAGTGGAAGAGCGTCAGTCCACTGAGAAATGTTTGCTGCTGATAGTGAAGCTTTTGGTTGTCGGTGAAAACGTTCTACTAACCCGTTTGCTTGTGGGTGGTAGGCCGTCGTTCGGAAGTGAGTGATTCCTAAAAGTGTGGTCAGACAACGGAAAAGTTCAGTTTCGAACTGATAGTGATAGTTGAAGGGCAGCTGAAGTTTTCTACCAATCGTTTTACGAAGACGCGGGCAATCGTTTCATCAGTAATGTCCTTGATAGGTACTGCTTCTGGCCATCGAGTGAAACGGTCTATGCAGGTTAAAAGATGAGAGTATCCATTTGAATCTGGTGAAAGCCCTGCAAAATGCAAATGAAAATGGTTGAAACGAGCGTCTGGAGTTGTGAAAGAGCCTAAGGGACATTTGTTGTGTCATATAACCTTATATTTCTGGTAGCTTACACAGGAGCGCGCCCACTCCCTCACATCTTGATTCATACCAGGCCATCAAGACCGTTCTGCTATAAGCTTGATAGTTGCACAAACACCTGGATGGGAAAGTTTGTGCAAAGTATTGAAGACGCTGAGTCGATAATGTTTCGGCACGACTGTACAATCCACACCTGTAGATGTATCACAAAGTAAGGTTTCCTTACCTATTCCTGTCTGTTTGATGCTCAGCCTA